GGGAGCACATGTGAGCTTGAGATTTGATATGAACTCCTAGCTTTTTCCCCTTGTAATATGTGTTGTTATTTTTTCTGCAGAAGAGTTCATGATCTTTTATAATTTCTTTTTTGTTTTTTTTTTCTCTATTGATCCAGTAGTGCTAGTAACAGAAACTTTAAAAAGAGATTATGGCAGTACATTCTCACACATTAGAGGATGAATGCACTATACTTGAAATAAAATTTGCCTTGGAGAGAATTCGTTTTAGGGTTGCTTGCATGACTGAGATCTACTGGACAGCATCTCCACAGCAGTTTTCTCCCTTTTCTTGCTTCATGTTCCTGAAGGCAAAAATGAAAGTGCAATTCTTCTTTGTTGGTCTTTAGGCTACAATTTGTTCTAATACATTTCCATTCAAAGAGGATAAGCCAGTGGGAAAATAATAACTTTTACATATAACTTAATTTTCTTTCTTCTTTTTTTAAGAGACAGATTTTTGCTATAGGGTGCATCCATTCACCAAAGAGACAGAGACAGAGAGACAAAAAGCAAGAAGTCACCTGCCAGGAAGGATGGCCACGCCACAATCCTTTCCACTCCATTCTCCTCTTGGGATCTTGGGCATGCACGCGCATGTGCCCAGCATGAGTTTTAAGCCACTGGATCTGGTATTTGAACCACAGTTGACTATGTGGGAGTCTAGCAGCATAACCATTATGCCATCTGCTTGTTCCCCATGTAACTTAATTTTCTACAAAGGTTTTTGAGAGTATATGTGTTGGCTATAGTTCTAAAGCCAGCTAATGTGTAATGGTCACTGGGAGATGCTAGTTTGTGTTTAACTTCTACTTTGCAGCTGTGTGACCAAGGCAAGTGCTTTACTTCTGCTAACCCTCAGTTTCATCATCTATAAAATGGAGATTGAAATATCTAATTCAAAAGATTATTGTAAACCCTTTTTTCTGACATTTCTGTTATTTCTTGCATTTTGTCCATAATTGATGAGTGTTACTGTGTTCCTTTGGGGGGAAATGTTTCTTGAGGCTCTGCTATGATTTCTAGGCATTTGGTGATGAATTAACTTCTCTCAGATTTGCACAGAAAATTTCTGTGCTTTCTTGCTGGGGTGAGCATGGGGAAAAATTCCTGCATGCTCTCACTGTGTTCAGATGTCTGGCTTGTATATAGCTAAAATTTTCTGGTCTATCTAGCTGAGAGCTGGGCAGAGAAGCTGAATTGTGTGGTGCTACGTAAAATCACATGACATGCATTGTGTGTGTGTGGAGCGGCTGCCTTGGTCTTCGGAGCCAGTGGGAAGAGCTGCCTTTCTGTTGTTAAGGCCATTCTAGGCTTCACCTGTCCAAGAGCAGAGGGCAGATAGGGCCACTTGGACCCTCTCTCACGATCAAAAGCCTCCTGCTGAGCCTGGAAGTGTGAGGAGCAGCTGCCTCAGCCTTCAGAGCCAGTGGGAGAAGCTGCCTTTCTGGTATAGAAAGTAGATGTTGGGGCTGGCAGGTGGTGTGGTGGTTAAGGGCACTGGCCTCCCACATGGCCAACTGCAGTTTGAGTCCCGGAGCTAGCATCTTGCTTTCTCACTTTTCTTTTCTCTCTCTCTCTTACTCTCACTCTGTCCTTCTCTGGTCAAATAAAAATAGATAAATAAATAAAGTCAAATAAATTAATTCATTAAAAAATGTAGATGTAATTCTAGGACCTGGTGACTTGCTTTCTTTCTCTCGCTTTCTCTGGTTGAATTTTTATTTTAAAAAAGATAATAATAAATACAATAAATCTTTTTTAAAAAGTAGATGTCAGGACTAGCAGATGGCATAATGGTTATGTTGCTGGACTCCCATGTTGTCAGCTGCAGTTCGAGTCCCAAACCCAGCAGCTAAAACTCACACAGGGCGTGTGGGCATGCATGCCCAAAATTCCAAGAAACGAA